TAACCGGAGGACCGGGTGAGGCTATTAGGGGTTGGACGAGGCCTCATAGGGACTCCCCAGTAGCGTGGGGGTTCCTGGCACTGGAGAAGGTGCAGTATTTTGCAGGGTGCATTGGCCTAGCCCCGAGTGCAGAGGGGCAGCGAGCAGCCCCGAGGGCAAAAGGAGGGCCGAGACATAACAGGGCCAAAGTCAGATCACACCAGCACCATCTGCGAGGCTTGGGCTGCGGTGTAGGGGAGGAAAAGGAGCCGCAGATAGCGCCCCCTGTCATAGGGGTGCATAGAAATGGGCAGCCTCCTGCTAATGACAACAATCTATTAATTAAATAAGATCAAGGTGTGGCAGGTGAGTAAGCAGGCGGTTGGCCCATTACCGGAGGGTGGAGCCAGACCCGGAGAGGCTCCAATAGTGGCACTCCTGTCACAGGGAGTAAATGTATTAGAAACAGGCTCTGAGTACAGATGATGATCTGTACCAAGGACTCCAGTTTGCTAATTTTGTTTTAAAATGCACTGCCTTACAGATTAAGGGAAGGGGGAGAGAGGGAATGGTGGCAAAACACAGCTTTGCTTTTCCTGATTTTTCTACCAGTAGGTGATCTTAATATGGGAAAAAGCTGGACCACTCCAGCCCTTACTTATACTGGGCAGGGGGTTGCAATAGTCTGTCTGCCAACATTCCCTTTCACTGTACCCTGGCTGTGGTATTTATCTTTTGTGTAAGCTTGATGTGGCTCATAGCAGGTGCATTGCTGCTATATATTACCGCTTCCCTCAGCTGTTCAAATTATACCAATGCCTCTCTGTTGTAGCCTCCTCTTAGGACAGTTGTTGTTTTTCTTCTGCAATAGAAAAGGCAGTGGGATAGCAACGATATTCAAGTTCTGTCTGTCAGAAGAAAGAGTAGCTTACCTACTGCTACCACTGTTTCCCTGAAGAAACAATTCTCTCTAGAACTGACAGAAGCAGATCAGCTATCTATGAAATAATCTGTCCTGTAATACCCATCTCCCCAGTTGTTTCATGCATCTGGCTTCCCAACTAACTGTTGCTCAATCTGGTCCACGCGTTACAGCAGGAAGGGCCCAAGTCTGAGTGGAGGACCTGGTTCTGGGTTGTGCTGAGAATACTTTGCATCTCTCAAAAAAGAGATTTGGATTGGGCCAAATAGCTGATGCACAGAATAGTTACTATATGTAAACAGTGCTAAGAGCATAATGAAATGGGAAGCAGGGGATCTACTGTATTCCTTGCATTTCACATGAAAATACAAATGTTTGGTGTGTAGAAACAGTTCCGCTTGCTCCGATAGTGGCACATGTACAATATACCCAGGAAAATTAGTATTACTGTACAGCATGAATCTTCATAGTTTCATAGTTTCTAGGGTCGGAAGGG